TGATGCTGATTGTCATTAACTATCTTTTCCTGAACAAATTCTACCAGATAATCCTTTACTATGCCCTCTAGCATTTTACAAACTACCGATGTTAGACTGACCGGTCTATAGTTCCCAGGTTGGCACCTAGCCCCCTTTTTGAATATTGGGACTACCGTAGCCCTCCGCCAATCACTGGGGATCCTACCAGTCATTAAGGAGTCCTTAAAAATGAGGATTAATGGTCTAGTTATAACCTGGCTTAATTCCTTAAGTACCTTGGGGTGCAGGTTATCCGGACCCACTGCTTTGTTTGCATTGAGCATTTTAAGTCTTTGTTGTATCCCGGTTTCTGTCAACCACTGGGGTATATTTTGAGTTAAACTGGGAGTTTTATCATGTGTGTCAAACCCGTTTCCCTTCTGAGTGTATACTGAGGAGAAAAAAAAGTGTTCAGCGTCTCGGCCCCCTCCTTGTCGTTTGTGACTAGCTTCCCGCTTTCCTCCTTTATTGGGCCTATCTGCTCCTTTCTCACCTTTTTACTGTTAATATATTGGTAGAATTTTGTGGGGTTCTTTTTACTATCTGCGGCGATATGCTTTTCGCACTCAGTTTTAGCTGCCCGTATTTCTAGTTTGCATTTTTGTGTTACATTCTTTGTAGTTAAAGGAGAACTATGACATGAGTGATTTCCACTCTTTATAAGTGTTCCAAATACAGCTGTTCTTGGCTGGGTCATGCAATGACATCATGGTGTTAGCCAGATATCTGCAAACCAATTGCTGGATGAACAATGATTGGTTTTGTTAAAAAAATTACTCAGTTGCCCTTGTTCCCCCAAATTTTGTTATCCTGGCAGAGTCTGCCTGCACCACTTTCCTCCATAGGTCACATTGAGAAAGGAGTCTCTGAAGCATGCACGGCAGCAGGATGGAGGAGCAGGAGAGGCAGATCTTGGTGGTTGGAGACTCCATCATCAAGCGGACAGACAGGGTAATCTGTCATCGGGATCGCAAGCGCCGAACAGTGTGCTGCTTACCTGGAGTTCGTGTTCGGCACGTTGCGGAACGAATTGACAGATTACTGGATGGGGTAGGGCACGACCCAGCTGTCTTGGTGCACATCGGCACCAATGACAAAATAGGTGGCGATTGGAGTGTCCTAAAAAGGGGTTCCGAGACTTAGGTGCCAGGTTGAAGGAAAGGACCTCCACGGTAGTATTCTCTGAGATACTGCCGGACTTGCCGCTGCCGAGAGCCACTACAGAGAGACAGCAAGAGTTGAGGGAGCTTAACAAGTGGCTTCGAGGCTGGTGTCGGAAGGAGGGCTTTGGGTTCCTGGAGAACTGGGCTGACTTCTCAGTTGGCTACCGGCTCTTCAGCCGAGACGGGCTGCATATTAACACGGGGAAAAACAATACGGAAGGGATTAATACAGGGGATAATGGGGGGCTCGCTCCAGTCAATAACAACAAGTTCATCAACAAAATCAACATAGATAACGTAGCTAACATAGCAAATTGTATGGGCGAAGTTAAACAAATTAGAAATGATCCACCTATAGCTAGGCAAAATAAAAAATGTAGCAGAGAGCCGGATAATATTTTTTATTTTTCCGAAAGTAGGTCAAAAATTAAATGTATATACACCAATGCTAGAAGTCTAGCAAATAAAGTATAAGCGCTAGAATTTATGCTACTCGAGGAGGACTTCGATATAGTGGGAATAACGGAAACCTGGCTAGAGAACACACATGATTGGGACACTAACATAGAAGGGTACAACGTGTTCAGGAGGGACAGGTGTGGGATAAGGGGGGGGTTGCATTTATGTAAAAAATAATCTAAAGGTGCACATACGGGACGATATTGTGTTAAACGGTGGGGAAGACGTGGAATCTTTGTGGCTGGAACTTGATAGGTCGGAGGCTAGCCGTAAACTTATTGTGGGTGTCTGTTATAAACCTCCAGATATAGGGGGGGAGGAGGCACAACGACAACTTCATGGATGAGATGGTGGAGGACCCAACTAGGAAAAATGCCATCCTAGATTTAATCATTTTGAATAATGCGGAGTTAATTGAGGATGTTGCAATTGGGGAGACACTGGGTAACAGTAATCACTATGTGATTACCTTTAATATTGGGTATAGAAAAGGGATGTCGACTAGTCGGAAACCCTAAACTTCAGGAAGGCTAACTTTGATAAGCTGCACCAGCTTATGGGTGAAATCAAATGGGGAAAATTTATTTCAGAAACTGAGCACTGAACAGAAATGGGAATGTTTTAAGAACACACTACAAAAGGCTATTACCAAGTGTATGCCATTAGGGAATAAAATTAAAAGATCAAAAACTAAGCCTGTATGGATAAAAAGATCGGTAAAGCAACTCATCAAGGGCAAGAGAGTGGCATTTCGAAAATATAAGATGGAGGGGAAGGCATTGGCGTTTAATAAATACAAAGAATGTAACAAAAGATGCAAGAAAATAATTCAGGCAGCTAAAATAGAGTGTGAAAAAACATATAGCCACAGTTAGTAAAAAGAATCCCAAAAAATGTTACCAGTACATAAATAGTAAAAGAGTAAGGAAGGAGCATAGATAGGCCCAATAATGGATGAAGTTAGTCAAAAAGGACAGGGAGAGGGCCAAGGCATTAAATACCTTTTTCTCATCAGTATACACTCAGGAAAAAGACGGGTTTAATATACATGGGAACACACATAGTTAATCTCAAAATATTCCGCAGTGGTTGACGGAAACCGAGATACAACACAGACTGAAACTACCTAATGCAAATAAAGCATTCGGACCAGATACCCTGCACCCCAAGGTACTTAAAGAACTAAGCCAGGTTATAGCAGGACCATTATTCCTCATTTTTAAAGATTCCTTAATGACTGGCAGAGTGCCAATTGACTGGCGGAGGGCTACGGTAGTTCCAATATTAAAAAAAGGGTCCAGATGCCATCCGGGGAACTACAGACCGGTTAGCCTTACATCGTTAGTTTGTAAAGTGTTAGAGGGCATGATTAAGGACCACTTAGTAGAATTTGTTCGGGATAATGGCATAGTAAATCCAACCAGCATGGATTTAGGAAAGACCGTTCCTGTCAGACTAACCTGCTAACTTTTTATGAAGGGGTAAGTAGAGATCTGGATGGAGGGAGGCCGGTGGATGTGGTATACTTGAACTTTGCAAAAGCATTTGACACGGTACCACATAAACGTTTACCGTACTACACAAGCTGAGGCCTATGGGCATAGACGAATTAGTATGTACATGGATAGAGAACTGGCTACAGGAATGGGTACAAAGAGTATCGATAAATGGCTCCTTCTCGGATTGGGCTAGGGTCATCAGCGGTGTGCCGCAGGGGTCTGTGCTGGGCCCCATGCTGTTTAACCTATTCGTTAACAATATTGGGGAGGGGGTAAACAGCCATGTTTAAGTGTTTGCTGATGATACCAAAATCGGGAGGGGAATAGACACTGAATCAGACACTATAAGACTCTAGGAGGATCTGGATAAAGTAGGGGTATGGACAACTACATGGCAGATGAGGTTTAATGTAGATAAATGTAGAGTTGTGCACTTTGGGGTTTAAAACAAGAAAGGGGATTACACACTAATGGGAGCTCCGCTGGGGAAGTCCGAAAGGGAAACAGATTTGGGGGTCATTGTGGACCACAGGCTGAATAACAGCACGCAGAGTCAGGCTGCAGTAAACAAAGCAAGTAGAGTCCTTTCCTGTATTAAGAGGCGAATGTTTTGCAGGGATAAGTCTATAATTGTGCCACTTTATAGATCACTGGTTCAGCCTTATCTAGAGTACGCGGTCCAGTTTTGGGCACCAGTGAACAGAAAGAATGTCCTTGAACTGGAAAGAGTCCAGAGGAGGGCAACCAAACTCATAAAGGGGATGGAGGACCTGAGCTATGAGAACAGGCTACTAAATTTCCAGTTCAAGGACATCCCCTCATAAACGCTTACTATACAAGCTGAGGTCTATGGGCATAGATTGGAAGGGTGTGTACATGGATAGAGAACTGGCTAAAGGAACGGGTACAGAGAGTAGCAATAAATGGCGCCCTTTCAGACTGGGCTAGTGTCATTAGCGGTGTGCCTCAGGGTTCTGTGCTGGGACCCATGCTTTTTAACCTGTTTATTAACGACATCGGGGACGGAGTAAACAGTGATATCTCAATGTTTGCTGACCATACCAAAATTGGGAGGGTAATAGAAACAGACCAAGATAGTATAACATTACAGGAGGACCTGGATAACATAGGGGAGTGGGCAACTATGTGGCAGATGAGGTTTAATTTCGATAAATGCAAAGTTATGCACTTTGGGATTTAAAAAAAGCAAATGGGTTATACAATTATGGATATGTCGCTAGGGAAGTCGGAAATGGAGAAAGATTTGGGGGTCATTGTAGACCATAAACTGAATAATAGATTACAGTGCCAGGTTGCTGTAAGCAAAGCTACAAGAATCCTGTCTTGCATCAAGAAGGGAATGTTTTGCAGGGATAAGTCTATAATTTTGCCAATTTACACATCACTGGTTCGGCCTCACCTGGAGTATGCGGTGCAGTTTTGGGCACCGGTGCACAGAAAGGATGTCCTTGAGCTGGAGAGAGTCAAGTGGACGGCAACCAAACTCATCAAGGGGATGGAGGACCAGAACTATGAGACAAGGCTACTAAATTTAAATATGTTCACGCTGGAAGTAAGGAGATTAAGGGGGGACATGATTTTCATGTACAAGATATTCTATAGTCATAACTCTATAGTTATGACTAACTTAGGTGTGCTGGCCATTTGTTCGCTTGGATGTCCACACTATCACCGTAGGTTGAGCATCCTCTTATTGGTATTAAAGGTGAAGGTGAGGGATGGATTTGTGTCAAGTTTCATTTGAATTAAAATCCTAGCTCAAATATGTCATTCAGTGTATTTCAGTTAAAGTGACAATGCCACCTTGTCCATGTAGGGCAAAACAACACCTGGACCCTGCAAAGGACTATCCCAATCCCCAAATGCTCACCTTACCAGCGACCCCACAACAATTTTTTTTCCTGTGCCAGAGCTGGCACTAAAATCACTAGTGTCTGAGACCCAGGGGAGCAGTGACATCACTCTCTGGGTTAAGTAATGGTGCACACCATAACTATTGGCTGTTAGGTCTGAGCACTGTCACAGGGAAAAAGGTTACATGCTCCTCCATACCTGTGCTGCCTGTGGTGGAGGTCCCTTTGAAGAGACACTGTCAATTTACAATGCATGGACAAGATGACAGTGCCCTTATTACATTTTATAAAAAATATTTTTTTAATGGGCATAAAGTTGATCTTTCTTACATTGTGATAATATAAATATATTAAACAATTTTGTTATATATGCATTTCAATAGGACCATTCCCAGTGGTCAGTTTGATGGTTGGTGTAGTGGTTCTACAGATGGCTCCAGAATCGGACTTCAAACTGATGAATGACACAGCAGTAGCAAACGGCACAGACACTATAGACACTAAGAGAATGAATGACTACAGGGTATTAATATGTGGAACACTCTGCTTCCTAATCGGAGTCATACAGGTAAAGTGTCTTATGTACTAAGAGAAACAAAAAAAAACCTTCAAACAACGAATATGATCTGTCCGTTACAGTTCAGCGATTCACTTTGCAGGATGGACTATACACTTTGGATCTTCAGCAATAAATGGATTGAAATTGTGATGTGTTATTATTAATATGGGGCACTGAGGTAAGGGTGGTAATTACCATTATAGAATTTGTGGGACCAGTGCCCATGGCAGCGGGGTTAGAGGAGCCAGCACCAACCCCACAGAGATCCAATCTCATTCATCAGAGAATGCACACAGGTAAAAATAGGGCAGGGTAGAATCATATCATACTTCTCGCTGTATACATAGCACACATATGCCATAGCCGTTGAACCTACAAAATATGCCAAAAGTTGAACTTCAGAGAAAAGCAAAAAATACTCTTGAAGTGGGGCATCCACCAAACTGCAAAGGCTAAATGCTCATTTTTACCAGGGGGTGTCCTCCTTCCATGCCACTGGTCCCAGAAAGTGTCACGTACCTGGAAGGAAGCTAAGATGAACAGGGTGCTACTCTTGCACCACTTGTCTGACTCCCTTGGAGGTGGAGACAGGAGGAGTGCAGGCGCATGGAAGCACAAGTGCCATTGCAGTGGGTTGTGCAGATTCGGTACCCGAACTTGAGTGCAATGACCTGGAGGTGACGGCCGGAACTGGCAGCAGACTTAGAAGTCTAGCGAGGCTTCAGCTGGAGTTGGCTGGCAGAGCATGGTATCAAGATAGCAGAGCCTGAATGAAGCCACTAGAAGATCATGATCGTAGTCGGGGGTCACAAGCCAGGGTTATACATGCAGGGCCGGATTTACTCTCTCTGCTGCCCCAAGGCCAGGTTCCTCAATACACCCCCTACCCGCCAAAGCAGGTCTAAATGTAGAAAACAACTACCCGCCCGCTGCCCAGAACGGCATGTCCTGGGTGTAGGGAGATAGGAATTCCACACCCCTGCTGTCCCGAGGCCGGGCCTTGGTTGGCCTTGTGGGAAATCCGGCCCCTGTATGCATGGACATGTAGTGCCAAATCAGTAGATGCAGTGGAAAGAGGTTACAAGCTGGGGTCAAACACAGGAGAGACTGATGCCAAATTGGAAGTCAGGATAGAGGTCAGGAACATAAGCTACAGTCAAACACAGGTCAGCAGAATCACAGGAACGGGGAACAGGAACAAAGGTAACAGCTGAAGACCAGTCAACATGTTTGCACATATTTCCATGCACATGGTTGCGCATATTTTAATTTGCACGATTTCCAGCATGCATGTGACCATTGTTCAGGGAATGTTTGCCCGCAATTTGAGGACAGGATCACATAGCATTGCGCGCGTGTCTGCTCGTACCAGCCTCTTTGTGAGTACCTTACACAAAGCCTTTTCTCTTCGGTGCTCCAGCTGGTGGTAACAGCTGTGATGTTATCACACACACATCGCAAGAACATCAGTCCTGCCTTGTAAGTGAGGATGTCTGACAGCCCGTCCACAACCTAGAGCACCAGAGAGAAAAAGGTGAGCGCCGGCTGCCGGGGGAACAAGGGATAGGGCAAGTAAAATGAGTTTCTATTGGTACTAAGGGCAAAACAATAATTTATCCTTTGCGGTGCGGGAGGAGCCCTACGGCTAAGGTTGTATTTTTTAATATTCCCAGAGATCCAATTTTAAAGGGTCAATCCACCCAAATCTGCCATCAATAAATAAGAAACCACTTCCCACTAATATACATTTCTTTTCCCCGCTTTTTTACCATTAAAACATTTGAAACAAGAGTAGCTTTTATTAATTGAGTTCCACTTTTTTACAGCTGGCATTAGGTGTGCTTCAGATCGGGTTCATTGTACGATATCTCGGAGAACCGTTGGTTGGCGGCTTCACGACTGCTGCGGCCTTCCAGGTTTTTGTGTCGCAAATAAAACAACTTCTAAATGTCCCCACAGGCAATTATAACGGAGTGTTCTCAATTATAAAGGCAAGTATTTTACCTACAAATGGTTGTACCATTCAAATGACACTTTCAAATGAAAGGTTACAAATGTTGAAGGGCAGATGGACTTGTAAAACCCCTCAGTATCTTTAATATATCCAGGATAAAGATAATGTGCAAATAAAACCTTTTATTATTTTCTTCTTCTCTGCTTATCCATTGAAAGCTGTCATCTAGAGTCCTTCCAGAGTTACATTAAAGTATATCCAACCCCAGGAACAAAAGCCATAAAGTGTATTTCAAATTTTGCCGCTACATTTTAGAAAACCCTGCTCTATGTTTGTGATGTGTTCCTATTCACAGACCATACCAAAAAATAATTTAATATATATTTCTTATCTTTTAGATATTTTGTTGCAGCAGGCAACATGGCTGATTCCAGGATTTTCCTAGCACCTGCACAGTGATCTGTCCTTATAGAAAAACTTAGGACTGAAATTTGAGGATTGTGTTTCTCTCACTAACATACAAAGCAGAGGCCAGAGTTGTAATCCTTTTACCCCTCACCCTTCACAGCCCCTCCTAACATTACAAAAAAAGGAAAGCAAGTAGAAAAGTTAACCCTTAAGAGGCCAAGAAACCCTAATCAAAATAAAAGAAAACTTTAAACTACAAGGAACATTTTTAAAATATTTTTTTTTTTACCGTATGCTATGTGAATGGGAATATGTTACACATATAAAATAGGTGTTATCCCAATTTGGCTGCAAAAGTGGAAAAACACTTTAAAGTAGTAGGTTTGAATAGAGTAGGAGAGGGTTAAAATCCCTATCAGATTTTTTTGCAGCCTGGTCCCATTTGAAAGATTTCCCTTTACTTCCTGCCCAATAGTCAACGGGAAGTAATACGAAATCCCTCAAAATAGAAAGAAATCCCTGGAGGTCAGCAGATTTACAAGAACTTGTGTCCCCTCTGGAAGATTTCCCATCTGTTCCTGTGACAACTCAAAATTTAGAATTTTCTTTCACTTTCACTGATAACAGTCAACAGGACAAATCATGGGGACACAAACAGCAATAAAAACCTGGCAGGTTTTCTTATCCCTCTCCACCCTATCCAATGGCTTTAGTTGCCCTTAAAATACATTGCAGCTTACCAGTCCTTAGATTTGATGGCTGCATTGGTTTACTTTTTTTTCAGGCTAAGAATTATTTCTGCAAGTACAAAATACAAATCTTGTTGATTCAAATTGTGGCACTCAAAAGTATCTAAG